GCGCCGCCGCTCGCCGCACGGCGCGTCCCGTGCGCCAGCCCGGGCAACCCGGTATTCACGTGCCTGCGGGACGCGCGGGCGCTGTTGACGGGCACGCGCCTGAGCGCGCCGCTGCCGCTGCTGTACAAGACCGCCGCGAGCGAGTACGGCGCGCTGCGGCCCACCTCGGTCATGGCGCCCTGCCGGTTCTGCCCGCGGGACAGCGCCTTCAGCACCCGCCTGGCCGCCACCGGGCCGCCGCAGTACAACCGGATCAACACGGGCGTCGACCCGCCGCCGCCCGCGCCCCCGCCTTAGTCCTCGGCCTCTTCCGCGCAGGAGGGACGAGCGTCGCCCGAAGAGCCCGCGCGCCGTCGCGTCGGGAAAGAGCAGACCTCCTCCACGCGCGGAGGAGAGGGAGGCTGTATCGCAACTCATTTTAATGAAGGGTGACGAAGCATTTTCCATGGGGGGACACACAGGATCTGCATTTAACGCCCCCACCACCACCACTCACTCTACTTTCTAATAATGATATCCAAGCGGAAGAGGACAACACCCAAAACAAAAAAATCTTCCAAAGATTAACCTCAAAATTACCAGAACAACTTTTCTAGTTATTCATTTCCTTGAATTATGCACCGAATCTTCTCAGCATCTTCTTCTATATTTTTATTTGTAGGCTCAATCTTGAGAGCAGCGAGATAATCTTGAAGGCCTAGAGTAAATTTTAGCATCCATCATTTAGGATTGAAGCCACACACCATGTTCTATGTACATGGTATATTTATGTAACAGCATTAACACTCCCCTCCCCAAAATAGCATTACTCCCAGGTAAGCCCGGGTGATAAGGGTCCAGAATGGAACTCCTCGGGCACTGACATAAGTCATCCAGGACGTTCTAAGTATGGGGCGCTGGAGCTTCTCAACTTTTCGGTATGTGAAGTCATTTTTACTGACTGTTGTGGAAACACAGACTCCTCTTAGTAGAATACTAAGACTCTTTAGTAGAATACAAGTAATTCACTCTGAATAGAAACATCCCCACAATTAGCATTTTATAAATACTTGTAAAATCATAAGCTAGATTCCCAAATCACGTTTTGCAGATAATAACAGTGAAGAACATAAATGGAGAGGAGAAGAAAGGAATGGCCACTGTTCCTTTTGACACAGTAGAAATTATAAAAGACTGATACGAGAAAGCAGTTGATCAAGTTCTTAATGAAGCTTAACAGGCAGCAGATTCACCCAGGATTGCCCTTGGAAAAGGAAAGGATTCTGAGTTTGACGGAGGAGGAGAAGTCCCATCCCCACCCCCACTCCCACCAGATTTCCAGTAACTTGAAATATTCTACCTAAACAATATTCTCAGTACAGTGGCTCATTTCTGCTGGTTTCAAGAAACACTGTGCGTAAAGCCTACATAACCCATTTTGTAAGGAGAAAATGTCAGCAACATAGTGGAACAAAAATAAATAAAAGTAGAGGTTTTTGCCTTTCAAAGACTCCCTCTCCTTACCTTCTGCATACAATTCCAGTTCACATAATGCTGTCCCACGCCTCAGGTGAGCTTTCACTCTTGCCTTGGCATTGTTGGAAACAGGAGGCGTTAGCAAATCCAAGGCCTGGCAAAATGAAATGCACAAATATACAGATTCCGTATGACCTGGAGTCTGAGCTAACACCAGTCCTTGTTTGCAAGTGCATCACTTAGGTTCAAAAGCACAAATATATCCTCTCTAAAGGCACCCTGTAGTGGAAGCTTTGTAAGTCTATCTTTGATACAAAAGGCACTCCCTAAATTTCAGTGGAATTTATCTCCATGGAGAAAATATGCCTTTTTTTAAGTCAACATGATCAGAAACCACAAGCAGCAAGTGTCTTCAGTCCATCTAAACTAATCTGCTTAAACCTCTCAGAAGCTAATGATGTCTATATAATAAGTAGAAAATGCTGCACATAAAAGCTGTTAACCATGTGCTGTTCTATTAGCATTTGTTTACTAATCGATTTGAGGGGACAATGAAAATAAACCTGTACCGTTCAGGTAAGACAAGGAAAACCTTGTTACCGCGCCCAAACTTTGTCTTCTTTCTGGCCAGGTGTGCACAAAGTGTCTTTGGCACTTCCCTGGTGTTCCTAGAAATAAAATGGCTGGTGTCCTGCTTTGTACTTTGCCTGCTTGTTTCTGTTTTAATTAACAGACTCTGGGGCAAAGTCATGGGGTAGGACACCTAGCAGCCAAACAGGGAAGTGTCAGGAGAGATCTCCGATGGCTTTCTCTTCTAATTTTTCTCTAGGCTTTCTGAAGCTTTCCAGCTCTTAGCACATCCGTTGATATGTTTACGTATTAAAACATTTATGTTGAAGCTTCCAAATCAATGGATAGGATTTATTTAAAAACCCATACCCCGCAGAGTTCTAAAAAAAACATTTTACAAAAGATTTTTGCATCAAAGAAGGAACCATATCATACTACAGCCACATTTTAAAAATTTTCAAGGCAAACTACAAGACAGAAAATGAGACATTAATTGCGATGTTTTGGTGACAGATTTTCATTTTCACCTTTTGTTTATGCACAAGTAGGAGTTGATACATTTTCCAGAAATATTAGCTAATGCTGTATGGTAATAATGTCGAAGAGAATATTCCAGTGTTCAGTCTAGGACAAGAGAAAAGGGAATCCAGTGGAAACATCGGCCACAGGCCAGAAACAAATACCTGAGAGGAATCCTCAATTGCTTTATGTAGATTTCTCAGCCTCAAGTGGCAAGCAGCTCGATTCAAATACAAGGTTGGTATTTTATTATTAATACGAATTGCCAAGTTGTAAGCATTGACAGCAGCCAGATAGTTACCAGTTTCAAACATTTTACTAAAAAAAACAAAAAGATGCATGTGAACAAAGGAATAGCTACTCCATTTCCAACAGGACTTAAAACTTCAAGGTCTTTACTAAAGGACCAGAAACTGATTGTGTCAACCACCCACTTACTTATTAAGAGTTGAACTTGAACATATTTAGGGCTTTGTGATTTAGCAAATGTATTTATTTGTTTATTGACAGCATACTTATGCGCATGCACACACTTCACTGACTCCACAAGGACTCCTGGTGGTTTACAAGAAACTGAAACAGAATTCTTAAAACCAAAGAAACAATAACCTAACCACCTTACCTTGGTGTGCATACATGAAACACCCCACTTAATAATAATAAATGAAAAACCCAGTGGAAGAGTTATGCTGTGACTGCCTTCAAAATGCCATTATAGAGGGCACCACCCAGGTTTTTAGTGAGAACGAGTTGCCATTCTGGCCCCATTTAAGGAAGAAGAATGCAGGAGAGAGAAGGCTATGTAGTAATAAACACGCATACTGGCACCCAGCAAACTGGCTGGCACTGAATTCCCTCTTCTCCCCCAATTCTAAGCCACAGCAGGTTTTGGAGAGCATCTTTGGGACACCCATTCTAAACTCACTTTCCCTTGTCTTTCAACCACTCTGGGTTCTTTTCCTCTTCTTTTAAATCCTCTATCTCAGCAATATCTGCATTTATTATCCTGCGAGCCTCTGCTTGTTTACATAGCCACTGCAAATAAAAGACACATACAGAACGTCAGCTAGGTCAGCCCAGTGCTCTGTATCCCACAAAGGCTACTAGATGTTTTTAGGCAAACCGTAAGAAGGACATGGCTTAAAAACAAGTCCTTCCAGCCCTAGGATTCCACTGAGGGAGGCTGAAAAGATTCCATCCAACTATTGAAGCTCACTGCGGTTGACACCCTGCACTTTGCTGAGACTGCCTCTTCTCCTGGGATTTCTGTAACAGAAAAGGAATCTCTGAAGAGAAATGACAACATTTCTCTGTAGTCGTCATATGCTGTATTTTCTCTAGTTTATGACAAGGTTTGCAGTTAAAACTTTTTACAGAGGTTCCTTATTTTTGTAATCTGCAATTAGCACAGTGAAGCACAGCATACATAGAAATCATAAAATCTCTCTCCGTAACTGGTCTTCCTCCGTTGCTTCCCCTTAAATATTGAGGTTACACTTAATACACGCACTTTGGCATTTGGCATTTTCCTAGCTTTCTGTCTCCAACACTGTATTGCTAGGTAAGGTGATGCCAGCCCTTCTAGGCAGGCCCAGTCAGGAAATAGATTCTGTATGTTTGCCTGGAAATATACTTATGCTTCTGTAATTGCTTCTGCAGAGTTTCTCTGAGGTCAGCTCTGTGGCTCTCTACAGGTGATACAATGGGGTTAAAGATGCATTCCTGGTGCCTTCCACATCACCATTAACAGCTACCTCTTCTTTGCCTGAGTATTTCCCAGGACCATCCTCTTTCTCTGGCACTATGGCTTCAAGCCACACCTCATGAAATATTGGGGACCATTTATTCCAGTTTTGCGGGGGGGGAAGGGAGAATGCCAACTGGGAAAACCTTGCTCTTCACAAGACATTCCAGCTCCTCAGTGTTTTAGGAGGTACGCCTTGAAACCACACCACCAGGGCTGGTCCAAGAAAATTTGCTGCCAGAGGGAAAGAGAGTGGTGCCTTTCCCACGCAAGGACACTGAATATTTCTTCAACCTTGGGAAAAATTAGATATTATGCTAAAAGTAAGTACACCTGAAAGGAGTGGGGGAAGCAAGCACTAGCTCTTCTCCAGTAACATGCTGCCACTGCCCTGTGTGTGCTGCCTGACACAACAGGCTCATCCCCACGGAAGGACCAGCCCTCTGAGGCCCAAAGCAGCCAAGCCCCCTACCTCTTCCTCCTCTGGGATCCGGGATTCTCTAAGGGCTGTTGGAAAGACACGAGGCGTAAAGTTTATCATAATGCTTCCAGGAGAGCGTGGAGAAGGAACTGAGTCTTCCTTTATCTTCTCTGAAAATATATTTCCAGAACTTCTAGCTGCAATAGTCAAACATAAAAGCCATTTAATGTTATATTTCTGTTCACAGTTAAAAGTAAAAATAGGAGAGAAAAAGGAGTCTAGCCACAGATATAAATGTGTTTCCTTTTTCTGATATTTTTATTGCAGAAGTCTGGAGATACAAACCTGTGCGGATTTAAACAAAACCGAATCTTGTATCACTATGAGGCATTCCTGGAATGTACTACTATGGGAGTTGTGTCCTGGGTAGATGGGGGGAAAACAACAAAAAGAATACGGGGCTGATGGTGTACAGTTACATCATGCCAACCCTTTGAGGGAGGCCAGGTCAGGAAACAGATCCCAGAAATCTGAATGGAACTATACTTTATCGAAATAGGCTACAGTAGCAGAATCTTGAAAGTCCCACTGAGTTTTACCCCCCTCTCCCACTTATAGTATAGTGAGTTAGGGAGGAGTCAGTCTGAGCTGCTTTTGCTGTTGCCTGGGGTTAAAGTATGTTTTATTTATATAACTGTCACAGGCTCGGCCTGGCTTCCCCAAGGTCATCTCCATGGCTCTCTACCTATCACAAGTTTTCCCACTGCAGACCATGAAGCAGAGTTTGGAGACTGAATGGCCCCACCAGTGCTTTTGCCTCAAACTGTAACCCTTTGCTTGGGCTGCCAAACAGAAGGCACTACCATAATTGATAATTATATGGTCAGCATTGTTTGAATAATGCTTCTGATTAGCATTAGTGCATTTTTGAAGGGGGTATGGTTTTAGTCCATGTTGTCATATGTTGTGATTGCATATACTGGAATTCAACATGGGAGGCTTTCAAATTTTAAATAAGTAAATATTTTAAATAAATAAAAACAGCCAGAGTAAAGCAAAAGGATTGCAGTGTCCCATGAATGAACGTGTAATGTCCATATGGTAACGTAATAAGAACGTTGTACCTTTAGTTAATGCTCCTGACTTGGATGCTCCCTTTCCAGCAAAAGATTCCAAATTCCAGTACCCCTGTGTTTCTCTGGGGACTTCTGTCTTTTTATCCGGCAATTGGCACTTGGTATGTATTTTCTTTTGTATCTCATTCTGCCTTTTCCATGTCTCAATCTCCTCAGTGGCTTTTTTCCGTTCCTGTTCTTTCAGCTCTTCTATTCTTTTTCTTTCTGCTTCTTCTAGCTGTTTGAATTACAGAACATTCATTCTAGAATTATTTTTGTGTTAAGGGGTAAACGTCCTCCTTTCTGATTCCTTGTCAGGGAGGTAATTAAAACAGGGAGAGATACTGTCTTCAGAAGGCCACAGGGGTACTAAATGTCAGGCAGAATCTAGAAGTGGAGGAACAGCCTGCCCAGCTCAGGTCACAAAGCTCAGACTCACCTGCATCTCTTCCCTACAACATCGCCCGAGTCCCACGTGGATTTGCAGAAATGCACCCGAAGCGATTTCTCTCACAGCAAGTGGCAGTCATTGAACAGCTAAAGTAGTTTTAACTATTTGCCTGCTGAGAGAATAATGCCTCCTCTTTCCCACAAGTCTTTCTGTATTAGCCTTTTATTTGTTGATTCATTGATTTCAGTAGGCCTATCAGTTACTCCAGTCACAAATGACTCTGAGCTGCATATACAGCATACATTACTAGTGCTTCAGAAGAAAAGTGAAGCAGGAGAGACTAGACGTTCACATGAGTGATAGGAAAGGCAAGAGCTCCGCTCAAATGAAAAGGAGAGGGAGGGAGGAAGAAAAGAGGAGATCGGCTGGGAGGCTGAGGACTACGAAGAGATGTGGGGAAACAAGCGTAATGGGCCAAAGGGAATTGGAATTCAACTGTTGTAGAAAGAACAGAGGGCCAGCTGACCCAAACTCGAGAAGAGTTACGATAAGAAAGGGCATCAGGGGGTGAGGCTGCCCTGGTTTGAGAAGGAAAAACTAAGCAGAGGCTATGGGAGTTCAGATGTGAAACACAGGACCAATAAAATGCAGGGCTTAGGCACAACAGGATGGTAAAGAACTGGATGAACATTATCTCAGCGTGTAATTAAGGAGCCCTTATTCGAGGAACGGTACTGCGGAAGAGGTGGCTCGGTGGCCGGCACAGAAAGAAGGCCAGACAGCAGACTTTCCTACAGCGGGGGAGGAGCCGCGAAAGGATGGCCCGGAGTCCAAAGGCTGGAGGGCAGCTGCGGCCCCCGGAGCTCGCGGGTGCTCCCCTCCCCCCCCGGAGGGCGCTCACTTGCCTTGATGGCGGCCTCCAGGGCAAATTTGCCGCGTCCCCGTTTCTCGGCAGATGTCGCCGCCGCTTTCGCTCGGGCCTGCTCTCCAGC